TGATAATAATATTTAAAGTAATGAGAAAAAGAATCAGTACAGATGCAACACAAATCAATATTTGTAATCGCAATACTGGGGACTCGTGTTGATTTATCAATAAAACCAGATAAACAGATAACATACACACATTGTCAAATTGTATCCTCTTTATGAGTATTTGTAGGACCTAAAATAGGTCCAAGGTTTTTGGTTTGGTGGGGGTTGTTTGTTTTGATGGTAGTTGTCGGTCAAGACATTTAACCTCCGAAACCGTACAGGGTACGTCCCTGGCGCTTGAGAGCGTAGACGACGTCCATGGCGGTGACGGTCTTCCTCTTGGCGTGCTCGGTGTAGGTGACGGCGTCACGGATCACGTTCTCGAGGAACACCTTGAGGACACCACGGGTTTCTTCGTAGATGAGACCAGAGATACGCTTGACACCTCCACGGCGAGCAAGACGACGGATGGCAGGCTTGGTGATACCCTGGATGTTATCACGCAACACCTTGCGATGACGCTTTGCGCCACCCTTTCCGAGCCCCTTTCCTCCTTTGCCTCGTCCGGTCATGATGCTGGTTTTCTTGCTGAGAGTTAGCGAGATGAAAAACGGATGGCCCCACCTCGGGTAAGGCTACCGCCGCGCCCCGTCTGCGTAGCGGCGAGGCGGCCGACTCAGACGAGCGCTTATCTTAAGTGACCGCTGTGCAAATACAAACTTGCCTAGGCCTTGTTATCGACTAAAGGTCACGTGCACAATACTTTCAATTGATTGGGCCTTAGTCGTTTGTGGCATCCTTCGACTTGGAATTCAACATAGCATCACGGAGGCTGCATTACAGGACCTGACGTGTGCCGTATCTCTGGCAATATTTACACAGTAGAAATAGGCGGGCTTAAGCCAGACTCTCGCAGCCACACGCGACTCGGCTAGGGCTCGCTCGCTCTCCTATAAATTGACGTCTTGAGCGAGATCGCGTTTCATATCTGTTTAGATACAAACTCGCAAAATGGCACGTACCAAGCAGACTGCACGTAAGTCTACCGGAGGCAAGGCCCCCCGCAAGCAGTTGGCCACCAAGGCAGCACGTAAGTCTGCCCCTGCTACCGGAGGTGTCAAGAAGCCCCATCGTTACAGGCCCGGAACTGTTGCCCTTCGTGAGATCCGTCGTTACCAGAAGAGCACTGAGCTCCTGATCCGCAAGCTGCCCTTCCAGCGCCTGGTCCGTGAGATTGCCCAGGACTTCAAGACTGACCTCCGCTTCCAGTCCTCTGCTGTCATGGCTCTGCAGGAAGCCTCCGAGGCTTACCTGGTCGGCCTCTTCGAGGACACCAACCTGTGCGCTATCCATGCTAAAAGAGTTACCATCATGCCTAAGGACATCCAGCTTGCTCGCCGTATCCGCGGAGAGCGCGCCTAAGGTTTTGATTGCATACCTGCAACACAAAATCATTATCCTCGGCCCTTTTCAGGGCCTAAAGTTTGTTCCCAGAGAGATGAAATGCTGACAAGTAGTGTAAAAGTTGTCAATGTACACAAACTACTAATCCTGATAATTATATCCATACTAATTATATTGACAAGCATATATACATACAAATGTGCAAACGCTACCATACACATACATACATACATGCATACATACACACGCTGTACATATACATAGTGAGAGAAAGTGTATGTTATGTGTTTATCTCTGTATGTATGTATGTATGTATTTATCTATGTTTGCATGTATGTATGTGTTTATCTATGTTTGTATGCATGTGTGTGTTTATCTATGTTTGTGTGCATGTGTGTGTTTATCTATGTTTGTATGCATGTGTGTTTATCTATGTTTGTATGCATGTGTGTGTTTATCTATGTTTGTGTGCATCTGTGTGTTTATATAGGTTTGTATGCATGTGTGTTTATCTATGTTTGTGTGTATGTGTGTGTTTATCTATGTTTGTATGCATGTGTGTTTATCTATGTTTGTATGCATGTGTGTGTTTATCTATGTTTGTGTGCATGTGTGTGTTTATATAGGTTTGTATGCATGTGTGTGTTTATCTATGTTTGTGTGCATGTGTGTGTTTATCTATGTTTGTGTGCATCTGTGTGTTTATATAGGTTTGTATGCATGTGTGTTTATCTATGTTTGTGTGTATGTGTGTGTTTATCTATGTTTGTATGCATGTGTGTTTATCTATGTTTGTATGCATGTGTGTGTTTATCTATGTTTGTGTGCATGTGTGTGTTTATATAGGTTTGTATGCATGTGTGTGTTTATCTATGTTTGTATGTATGTATGTATTTATCTAGGTTTGTATGTCTGTATGTATGTGCAACTATATATATATATATATATATATATATATATATATATAAAGTTTATATATACATATAACTATATATATATATATATCTATATATCTATATCTATATCTATATATATATCTATATCTATATATATAGTTATATATATGCATATATATATATATATATGCATATATATATATATATATATATATATAGTTATATATATATAGTTATATATACATATATAGTTATATAAATATATATATAGTTATATAAATATATATATAGTTATATATATATATATATATATAGTTATATATTTATATATATATAGATATATATAGTTATATATATATAGTTATATATATATATATATAGTTATATATATATATATAGTTATATATATATATAGTTATATATATATATAGTTATATACATAGTAATATATATAGATATAGATATATAGATATATATATAGTTATATATAGTTTTATATATATATATAGTTATATATAGTTTTATATATATATATTTATATATATATATATATATATATATAGTTATACATATATATAGTTATACATATATATAGTTATACATATATATAGTTATACATATATATAGTTATACATATATATAGTTATACATATATATAGTTATACATATATATAGTTATACATATATATAGTTATACATATATATAGTTATACATATATATAGTTATACATATATATAGTTATACATATATATAGTTATACATATATATAGTTATACATATATATAGTTATACATATATATAGTTATACATATATATAGTTATACATATATATAGTTATACATATATATAGTTATACATATATATAGTTATACATATATATAGTTATACATATATATAGTTATACATATATATAGTTTTATATATATATATATAGTTTTATATATATATATATAGTTTTATATATATATATATATAGTTTTATATATATATATAGTTTTATATATATATATATAGTTTTATATATATATATATATAGTTTTATATATATATATAGTTTTATATATATATAGTTTTATATATATATATATAGTTTTATATATATATATAGTTTTATATATATATATAGTTTTATATATATATAGTTTTATATATATATATATAGTTTTATATATATATATAGTTTTATATATATATATATAGTTTTATATATATATATATAGTTTTATATATATATATATAGTTTTATATATATATATATAGTTTTATATATATATATAGTTTTATATATATATATAGTTTTATATATATATATAGTTTTATATATATATATATAGTTTTATATATATATATAGTTTTATATATATATATAGTTTTATATATATATATAGTTTTATATATATATATAGTTTTATATATATATATAGTTTTATATATATATATAGTTTTATATATATATATATATAATAATAATATATATATATCTATAGTTTTATATATATATAGTTATATAACTATATAGTTATATATATATACAGAGAGAGTTATATATATGTATGTATATGTATGTATGCATGTGTATGTTGCAATCAACACGCTCAATAACGCAAAACATTATTTTGATACTCACTTTGACTGACAGAATAAACAGAGGCCATGATCCACTTTCCTCCCAAGGTCTATCTGCTGAAAGATAAATGAATCAATAAACATATACCACATATAAAATAATTGAGTTGTGTGTGTGTTTGCTTGTGACAAGTAAATCCTAACAAACCCGACAATGACGCAAAACTCATTACTCTATCATTATTACTTAATTTGTGACAAACAAATAAAGTTCATGGTCCACTTTTCTTTTCTCCCTAGTCCTGTCTGCTAAAGAAACAAAGAAATACACTAGTAAATAAATATACCACATATGATCAAACCTACCTTACCTCCTCCTCCTCCACAAGTTAGGTGTTACGTCATGTCGTCCTCTGTAGTTTCTAGGCTCTAGTGACCGATCCTGATTTGCCCATTCCTTGAATAATAATAATAATAATAGTAAATGGCGTCAAATGTATTTTGATGATGATGATACTAATACCAAACACAATAAGATCATACAACACACGTTTCTAAATTCAACGCAAATACTAAACACGCGAGATAACTAGGGTTAATGAATAAATAACTGACTGACTAACTGACTTGTTGGTAATTCATTAAGCACTTGTAGAGCTATCTATCCATGTGTAAGGACAATAAATGATCTTATACTAGTAGTAGTAGTAGTTATTGTAATAGTAATAATAACAGTAGTGGTAGTAATATTAACAATAATAATAATAATAAGAAGAAAAAGAGTAAGAGGCAGAGAACATGTTACCAAGTGGGTTGTTACCAACGTCATCGTATATCTGCTTTATTACAATATGTGGCTCCTAAAGGAGCCGATGTTGTTCTAGGAGGCAAACAAATGATGCAACCTAGAGATTTACTTGGAGGAAGTGTACTTGGTGACGGCCTTGGTGCCCTCACTAACAGCGTGCTTTGCCAGTTCTCCAGGGAGCAACAACCTGACAGCGGTCTGAATCTCCCGGCTGGTGATGGTGGAACGCTTGTTGTAGTGTGCAAGGCGGGAAGCCTCAGCTGCAATGCGCTCAAAAATGTCATTCACGAAAGAGTTCATGATAGACATGGCCTTGGAGGAGATACCGGTATCAGGGTGGACCTGCTTGAGCACCTTGTAGATGTAGATGCTGTAGCTCTCCTTCCTCCTGCGCTTCTTCTTCTTATCACCCTTGGTGATAGACTTTTGGGCCTTACCGGCCTTCTTGGCAGCCTTTCCGGAAGTTTTGGGAGGCATGATGCTTGTTGGGACAAGGTATGTTTGCGCACGTCAGATTTTCCTTTTATATGGCTCGACACGCGCGCCAGCCTCCGCGTACAGGACCACGACTACTGGCTGATCTGGTGTACACAGAACATGCCAGTCGTCGCAATCTGACTCAGTCATCCGGGGCCGCCTATAAAAGCTAAGCTCCGTCAAAACCGAAATAAGGTCCCACCATCACCCAGTCAATTCTAAGCGACTCACCATAATTGCAAAGCGAACATTCAAAGTGTCATTGAGCCCCCTTGGTCTGCCGAGGCCTCAATCGCGCCGCGAACTCGATTTGCCATTATTCTGATTAGCAATAAAGTAAATGAACAGTAAACTTCCTCTGACTTTTCCAGAGACTGTTTGCTTTTTTTCTTCTGCCTTCAGCAGTCCTCTTTTGATCATTGACGGTGATAAGGGAACATT